ATCATGTTTGAAAACCACTTTTCCGTTTCGGCTTGATCAAGAAGTTTAATGAGAATAAAATAACACATATTCAATATAACTAATATACTAAATAACACATAACTCTAGAAATTTTATTCCTCAGGAGGACCATAGATAGGTATTTAATTAACTTTTAATTTTAACAATAAAATTTTACTTTTTACGTGAAAAACTGTCCGTTTGCGCTGAGGTTCGCAGCCATCTTCTTTCGCAACAGTGTTACCAGATTGGGCGATTTATCACAAATTGGGCGATTATCCGATTGCTCTGGCGACCTGAATTTTAGGAAAATCGCAAGTCGCCATTTGGGCGATTTTGGCGAAAATACTTATGGCAGCAGCCAATCAATACATTGCCAATATTGACTTAATTCTTGTAATTATTATAGATATCGATTCACGAAACGGCGAAAATCATAATTACATATTCGTAGATCAATATTCGAAGATATCGATTTATATTGCTCATCTATCACAACTGGCGTTTGTGACTTCAGTTCTGTGCTTCAGTTTAGTTCTCAGTAAGGTTCTCGGTATGTTCTCAGCCTTTGTTCTCAGCACGTTTCCAGTCTACCATTTTTCCCCTTTGTGACGTCATCAAACCACTTAAAATATTAGTCATATTTTGAATTGTGATAGGTATAGTCCTTGTATAATGAAATAGTCGCTTGAGATTTTTGTAGGTTTAGTATAAAATTATTTGGCGACTTTTATTTTATTTTAGCGACTTTCGCCACCTCTAGTGGCGACCAGCTAAAATAATATCTGGCAACACTGTTTCGCAAGCGAAATCGACCCTTATCAACCGACTACGGTAGCGCCCTCTCTTCGAGACCTCTTGAACCATGAGGCGATTCATATCACCGAAATCCAAAATCGAAAAATCCGAACAATTACTTTAAACTCAAATCTGTCTCCATGGCAACAATTTTTACTGTATAAAAATACTACCTTAGAATTTATCTCGTAATTACCTTAGTATTTATCTCGATTTTTTTTCTAGCCATTTTTAAAATACCTTTCAGAAGAGATTTGTTCAGATAATGTGTTGGCTCACTACCTTTTCTTGTTATCTTCCGGAGTCTGTAACTTGTAGGGGTGATATGACGCTTCTTTCCAACACTGCATTTTTTTCGCTAATATCTTCGAGCACTAGAGCCATACTAGAGCTAGCAGTATCTGAAACGACCGAAAAGATCCTCGAAACCGACGCATTTACAAAACGATATGGTCAAAGGTCAAAGTCAAGTCAATAGTCGTCAGTAAGTCAGAAATCCGCCTGTACGGCCTAAGAACGCTGGATTAAACTCATCGCCACTTCTGATGTAATCGGGAGATTAATATATTTAACAGAAATTGATATTTAAAATATAATTCTAACTAGCTTTACAAACAATGTCTTCTCTCGGCCGAAATCAACAACCAAAGAATATACCTAGCTATCAACAACCTCCAACGTTCAACTGTTTTCAAAGCCTACCACCTACCACTCCGCTACTTGCAAACATCAGCGGACACGGGGTGCAAGCACGGCACGGCGTGAAAATGACATGCCTATCATAAGGATCATAGGCGTCGATAACATAGGGTTATAAAATATGAAAGATATATTAATACACATCGGGTTTGAATCGCTAATGACAAGATTTAAGTATTTTTAAAAATATTTCCAATATTTCCATTTACAACACTAATCAATACAGAATCGAAATTTTCAGCACCATAGCGTACCAAATAAAACTTAAATTCTTGGTTAAAAATTCAATTCCTTTTATATAATAGTGACAAAAATTTCAGAAATCGTATTACTAAAGTAATGTTTACGCATAGCAAATTATTCTGTAAACTTTGCTCATAGTATCTATATTAACAATTGACAACTGCATGGCATTGTGATTGCAGGTATATTTTTTAAGTTAATAAAAAACTATTTGCGAGCCTTGAAAATTGACGAATTTCACTTATTGAAATAACCCAAAGGTTTATTTAAGCATCTGACTGAATAATATGAGTTAATATGTTTAAGAACGTGAGTAAATATTTATTTTTTTAATTGACATGTTTTAATATTGTAAATGATATACCAACTATTATTTGGTTTGAGATCTTAAACACACACGCGTGAGATGTGTGTTAAGAAAACGTGGCCACAATTTTAATACATCCTTTTTAGAGTTCCATACCCAAAGGGTAAAAACGGGAACCCTATTACTAGGGCTCGAACACACTGACGACCAGGTCGCATCGGCCAGGCCGCTGCTACCTCTAAAACCATTAAATCAAATGATACCGCGCACACTAACGTCCTGGCCGTCCGTTGGTCGTTGCGACCAGTAGACTGCACTAAAATGTTATAATTTTCTGCCGCTTGTTGCCGGTTTTCTTCCAAATTAATAATTTTTCAGATGAAATCCCTCAAATACAACGCACAATATTTTATTTTCTATAAGATATAGTGTTTTAGTGTAGTTTTTGCACACGTGCAGAAAATCCAAAGAAATAGTATACAGACTGGATCAAAGGGAAACTTAAATCTAGTCTCTTTTTTTATCAAGGGTCGATTCTAGTAAACATTCAAAACATTTTTATATGACATACTCTATTTATGGTTGGTATGATACCTGTTATTATACATTCGAGTTTCGATGTTAAAAAATAAAAAAATCATATTTAAAGTTTTTCTACAACCACTTGTTCTTTTATTAAATTATTTTTTTTAGTTGTATTGTAGTCATGTACAAGGAGGACAACTGTATTTTAAATATTATGTTTAATTTAACAGTTTTCAAACAGGGTCCATTAGACTATATTTCTACTAGGTACATTATTTTTTAAAAAAATTAAGAGTAAAAGTAACTTAAATATTCATAAAAATAGAAGTATTAACTGTTGTAGATTCTCAGTAACAATAAAAAAGAGGAATTTATATTGTAAACATAGAAATAACTGGAAGCTAAACTTTCTACCTGGTTATATTTAGAGCCAGTGTCTGACGACCTTTTTTTACGATGGCCCTAATATCTTTACTTCTAAAGTCGATATGAGCCATCAGTAGAAGTCCATATCAGTAGAAAAAAGAAACAGAAAATCTCCCTTTTTGTCGGTCGCGCGTACACAATGCTTTTTGTTCGGCCTATTTGTTCTGCTTGTTCGTGCGCGCTCGGTTCGTTCGGGCTAAAATGCTCAAGTCTGGACGCACCTTTAGGAACAATACTGTTTTTGTCCTTTATGGATGTAATGGTGAAAATCTCACGAGTTACATGTCTCACTCTACACATATTAAATTACATAGACGTAGGATGTAGAATATTCTGTTACGAAACGACTGATGGAATAGCAGGCATCGCGGATTTGAAAAACATGGAAATAACGACGTTATCGTGTAGTCCGGGTTGGAGATTTTACTTACTCCATTTACCACACCAGTATTTATTAACGAAAAATCCAAGAATATTTTAAATGCATTATTTAATATTAGAACATTTAATAAGCTCAAGAATAGCAACTTCGCTTTTTAGTTAACTCGGATATATTAACATTTCTGAAACAATATTTTCTAATTGGTAAAACGTAAAAAAACGTTACATCTGACAACTCTGTTGAAACTGGTCCTTCATCTGGCCGCAGCTATAAACGCAATACATGTTGCGACCTGACCGTCAGTGAGTTAGAGCCAGTGTTACCAGATTGGGCGATTTATCACAAATTGGGCGATTTTCCGATTGCTCTGGCGACCTGAATTTTAGGAAAATCGCAAGTCGCCATTTGGGCGATTTTGGCTAAGATACTTATGGCACCAGTCAATCAATGCATTGCCAATATTGACTTAATTCTTGTAATTATTATAGACATCGATTCCCGAAACGGCGAAAATCGCAATTACATATTAGTAGATGAATATCCGAAGATATCGATTTATATTGCTCATCTATCAACTGGCGTTTGTGACTTCAGTTTAGTTCTCAGTAAGGTTCTCAGTATGTTCTCAGCACGTTTCTCTCTCTCTCCAATCTGCCATTTTTCCCCTTTGTGACGTCATCAAACCACTTAAAATATTAGTCATATTTTGAATTGTGATAGGTATAATCTTTATAATGAAATAGTTGCTTCAGATTTTTGTAGATTTAGTATAAAAATATTTGGCGATTTTTTTGGCGATTTTTGCCACCTCTAGTGGCGACCAGCTAAAATAATATCTGGCAACACTGGTTAGAGCCAAGACTTCGCTGTCCGTCCGTCCGTCACAAAGGTCTATCTTATGAACCGTTATAGCTAGACAGTTGAAATTTTCACAAATAATGTATCTATATTGCCGCTATAAGAACAAATACTAAAAACAGAACTAAATAAATGTTTACAAATCAAAAAGTACTTTCACTAAACATTATCTTTTAAGTAAGAACTTTACATAGAATCTTTCAAGTCCTCGGTGGCCGCGTGGTTAAAGCGTTAACTTGTGTCTAGCCCTAGCAGGCAACTGTTAAGCCCGACCAATCACGTTAGAGTTTTTGACAAACACAAATGAATTAACACACTCCAAATAACCACGCTAACCAACCTGATTGGTCAAGCTTAATAGTTGACGGCTAGGACTAGACACTTCTAAGCGTTAGGACTTTACCCTGCTATGACGTTGGAGCCGTAGTAAGGCAAGTTCGAATCCTAGTCAAGGCGACTTTTTTTTAATCGTTTTTTTTTTAATTTTTACATATTTATTTTTACTTTTTACATATTTATTATTGATTAATACAATTTTTAGTAATGTGTTTCATTTTTTTTAAATTACTTATACGCGCATTCAAAATTTCAGCTAAATCAGAAAAAAGTTTATAATAATATAGTGTCTAATGTTGTATAGATAATGAATGACTCGCACTTGACCAATTTTTTTGTTACATCCTTTATCCTTCGCTGAGTTACATCCTTTATCCTCCATGCTTCACGATAATAATTATTAACATATTTTCTCTATTTTTGCAGGACCCCCTCGGTAGGCCGTCCCCATAATGCTCCAGGGCAACCGAGGTGGGCGATTCATCACCAAGGTGGTCAGTTTAGGGCTGGTATGGGCCCTCGTGGTCTATACCGCCCTCCAGTTCAGGTCCATCAAGCTAGACGTGCCCATGCCCCACCTCAACAGCAGATACCTCTTACAGAAAAGGTTAGATTTTTTTGCTATTAAAAGAAAATATTTATATATTGTATGGGAAGGGGAAGTTGAACACCGCGACCTAATAGATCTATTATATCCCCCTTTCTTGAGTTATAACTCATCATACAGTCTCAGGGCTTTGACAAACAACATAATATGTCGTTTGCTCGATGACATAAAGTTTTAACTGCTCTTAATTTCAGAAGGGTTTGACTGAAAACTTAACTAGGGCGAATATGCCAGTGGTCAGACAGTTTAGAAAAAGCTCAAGAAAAAAGTTTAAATTGTTGATTAAATTTTCTTTATTGGGGGCATGGAAATGAAATTTTATGAAATAGATATTGTGCTTATTGGGCTGCACCGTTAAACATAACAGTTTTTGTCATATACCTACCAATGATTTTAATTATTTTTTTAAGTGGTAGAAGTGCTGTTTTGTCAGTAGTAGGACAGTGGCTTGCCAGTGTCCGGCCGGGTAGTTACCATAAGCCAGACACTTTGTGATTGGTCGATTCTGCACAGTATGTTATCTATATGAAAAAAATATCTTTAACCGATACCAACGCGGTTCATAAAACCATACTTCCATTAGTAAACTGCGTTTTCACTTTTTCTTCTTCTAGATACAATTTTTTCAACTGTATTAACACCTGTTTTTTTTTAATTTGAAATCCGCAAACGGCTAAATTTTGAATCCAGGTAACATTTTTTTTACGGTCCTATACTGTTGATTTGGAACCTTGTACTGACTGAATTTCCCTCGATTTTCCGCGCTTTTCCCTCTTCTCGGAAAGTTTGGACTGTTTTATCTAATGTATCTTTACCGTATCGATGAAATAAGCTCCCTTTTACTTTAGGCTTCATGCTTGAAAATAACCAAAATCTCATAAAAAATCAGTCTCTGCAATATGACGTCGAAAAGGGGCTACTGTACGACCTCTCAAATATATTAAATTTAGCGTTCACCAGTGGTCGGACAACTTTTATTTTCTTTGATCTGAGTTTGTATTGAGTTTTTCCTGTCCGACCACTTAACACTACCAAAAACTCATGTTTCATTATATTCCAAACGAAAAAGACAGATATTACATATCAGTTATCAAGTATCCGCAAGAAAAAGACTAAAACAAAAGAGTTATCGAGTCGTGTTCGGCATTATGCTCTGAGAAAATTTACATATTCTACATATTAGATTACATTACATATTCTAGATAAACAAAGAACAACAGATATAAAGCATCCCAGAGGAGAGAGGAAAAACCTGGACTCTTTCTGATATTTGTCAAAGTTAATGTCATCTTTTTGATCGACCTGAAAACTTCGAGCAAAAAGATGACACTTTCAACAATACCCTGACAGATATCAGAGACGATACAGGTTTTTCCTCTCTTTTCCACTGGAATACTTTATATTTATTGTTCTTTGTTTGTCTAGATTTCTCAGAGTACAATGGCCGAACTCAGCTTATATTTTTCCAGTTGTCGGACACTCGTCTGACCACTGGACTTAAAACAAAATTATATACGAGTTTATTAGACACCTAAATTTAACATTAAAATATTAAAAAGTATCTTTTTTTGTTATTTGAAATAAATCTATGGTACACATTCACGTAATGTTATAAGTGCTTTATAAATTAGATTTTTAATTGGAGAAATTTTAACAGGCAAAAATTAGGAAGCACAAACATGTATGGTCACTTTCCCGGTTTCAGGGTGACAATTTAGGCAAAGAAAATGTTACAGAACAAAGGGGAAGAATTGGCAGAATTGAGTTTTTAATTATTTCAAGCAATACTATATAAGCCATATTTTTAACTTATTTCCCAATAAATACGTTTTGTTCGACCACTGGTGTATATCTGACTATTGGCATATTCACCCTATTGTTCCGTATGTATCGGTTTTCCATATCCACACTTGTTAAAAATTAAAATTCAATGCCAAAGAGTACTAATAAATTTTCTTCTAGTAGCACTACTCAACGTCATATTTAAAAACCATAAACATAACCTTTCACCGCGAACTTTATTGTTCACCGAGTGTGATTGAAAGGCTAATTTATTGTGCGATTTATTGCAGCAAAAGTCGAATCGATAAGAGAACCGATTACTCACTTATCTTGGTATCTCAGACGTCCTTCTAGCGGTAACCGTGACCAGTCGATGCTTTCACTGCTTTCTAAGTAGAAGTCACCCAGTTAAGGGGAAAAATAAACATTCCTTTGCCATCATTATCATAATTTATAGAGTATCGATAGAATGATATTCTTGTTCAGATTACGAGGGGTGTCTTTTATATTTTGCTGGCAACGGCCTAGCTACATCGAAACACCGGTTCCCATTAGAACACCGAAGTTAAGCGACGCAGGACGATACTAGTGGATGGACGGGTGACCGGTTCGAAACTCTGTATCGTGCTGTTGTCCAAAAAAAAGGCAAAAGTGTAAAATCTATTTACACACACTGCTCATTCACGCCGGTTCGAGGCCGGATGAGATCGGATATCTCGTGAGTAAGAGTCGATTTAGACTTGCCAAGTCGGTAGGCCATTGGCCATGATATGGCCGAGGACCGCGGTTCGGATTCCGCGTAAACAAAGTAGGCCCCGTCCAGATTAGCCCTGGCAGCAAAAAGGAGACGTTAACTGAAATCTTTACTTTACTGTCTTTACTTTTTTATATTTTGCATATAGAGATAGAAAAAAACAGTAGATAACTGTTAAACGGTATTGTTTTTTCGAAGTCTCTAACAAGAGAAAATGCATTTTTACATCCGTTGGAACCAACTCTCAAAGCAGTTATTCCACTCGCTTGTTGGTACCTTCAAAATTTCGTTTTTAAAGACGCTAACTCCATCTTCTGGGCACTGGAACATTTAACCGCGCAGTTCATTCTTAATTTTTGGAAAAGTAAAAAAGTCGTTAGGACTGTTTGGAGGATAGTCCGACAATTCGATATTCTCTTGCTTTAAAAACTCGATTGTTTTTCGAGCTGTGTGAGAACTTGCATTGTCTTGGTGGAGGACCATTCGTCGTTGAGGGTTGGTTTTTCGAAACTTGGCAATTTCTTTCAGCAAACAAATAGATAATGTACCAATCAGCAGTAATAGTTCTTTGATCTTGGAGGGGAATTGTTGCTATATGACCCGCTTTTGAGACAAATATCGCCAGCATCTTTTAAGAGACACTTCGAGAATGGATAACTTTCATCGGTTTTGGTTCACCCAAACAGCCGATTGACGTTTGTTTTCGAGTTCATAATGGAAAATCCAGGATTTATCACCACTGACAATACTGTATAGATTTTTTAAGTTTCTTGGGTTTAACCCATGGTACAAAGAAAACAAGGTACGATATTGCGCAGTTTGGTCGCTACGTCACAGGTGATAACAGGCGTTATTGGCCAGCACGCTCCGCGCGCCAATTCAAATCGTCAAGATATTTTAATGAACCTGTTTTTTTGTTTATATACCGTCATTCAACTGTCGCTAAGCAAGTTACTGTGGAGCAGTGCGTGAAGAGTCAGGCCTGGAAGCGAGAGACCGGAGTTCGAATCTCGGCCGGGGCATAACTTTTTTATTTAATTTTTTAAATACTGTTGTATTCTATAGTTTATTTTTGTAGTATAAAAAAGGGGGGAACTATTTATTCTGTTATTTTTTAATCTCCGGTATTAATATAAATTGATTTTTGGTACAATACCTCATTTAATATAAAATAATATTCTACTTTTTGAAATGTATCGGGCCCTAATTGTACCTAAAAGTAATATACTTTTACAGTACGTCTGTCCGTTCTGTAGCTCCGTGGTATCCGTGAGAGGGGAAACGATATTTTCTCGATGTTTTTCGTAAAAAATTAGACAACGCGTCCCATCAATAAAAATTCGACAAATTTGCAAGTAGCCAATAAAGTGAGTGGGCGGAGCGATTTGCGGTGACGCACTCGTCAAATCGACGTATAAAATATATTGCTGTTTATTTAAATGTTTTTTGCCCGCATTCCTTTCATAGACACAGATCCAGCAGATGTACTGTACAATGATATACCATATTGTAAACTATTTAATATTTCAGTCACTTGAAAAGTTAATTTGTATTGAATAATTGCCTACCATTAAAGGAAACTTGAGCTATAATCATCCTTGATGGGCATAGGCAGCAAGTATTTCCTCTAAATTTTGGGTTTCGTTCAACCGAGTCAGAAAAAATAAACAATTCTTGACCATAACCCTAAAAAATATAAAAATGCAGATCTCCTGTCAACTTTATTTTTTATTTATTCATTATTTTCCTAGCGACGTCACAGGTGATATGGGTTCAACCGGTGCCGGTGTAGAGTTTTTTGACACCAATTGACTCTAATTGCTTTCTGTTTTTCCATAACAGATGTGAAATTATTTTTTTTTTGAATTGAGGTCTTTTAAATGCCCAATGATGCTTCAATTTCAGGATATGTGGCATGTCGATCTTCTCGAATCAGCTTACGAATATCATCGATGTTTTCCTGAGTGACTGCCGTTGTTGGTGGTCCTGTTCTTGGATCGTCCCTAAGACTAATCCGTCCGCGTTAAAATTCTCCATACCAACGAGAAATAATCGACTGATGTGATGCTTCATTGACGAAAGGCATTCGTATTGACACAACTGTCTTAGAAAATTGTAAAAAAATATTGCATCAAAGATTTCTCGACTTTAGTTTGACTTTAGTCCATTTGTCGACTGACTCGTCAACTTTAAAATCGTTAGGTACCTACAGTTTTAAACAAAGCGGACTAAAACTTTGGCGTTAAGTTAACTAAAGATGACAATTAATTTTGACATTTGATATATGTTGATAAGCGTCTACTATTTTTATATATGCAAAATATAAAAGACTACCCACGTATTTGTAGAATTCTTTTTGAATTCTACAAACAACCTTCCTCGTTATATGTAACGATCAATACCAAAATTAATTTAGTGTTATTCAAGCTGTATTTTTTTGTAGACTGGACACACTGACGCGGCATGATTCGACCACCGAAGCCATGGATCTGGAACCTTTCGTGGATAAGAGTCCTTCGTTGACCGAAGATAACTTGATCGAAGACATCCAGAACAGGGTACCCAACTTACCCATCGCTTATTGGAACAAAAACAAGAATAAACCGATGGGCGTCAATAACACTTGTGCTAGGTAATGTTCTAAATTTAGTTTTATTCTATTATTGAACTAATTATATACAACACCCTGTAGATATTTAGAGCATTAACTAACAATTACTTTACTTTAGACTAACAATTATAATCTTACAGACTATGGTCTGTAAGTTTCTATAATTATACAATTATCTGTAAAAAATAGTAACTGTTCGTAAAAGTTAGCGATGTCAAATCTTACAGACATTTGTCTGTAAGTCACTGTAAGCGATGTCTAAACTTTCAGAATGTAGTCTGTAACTAGGCAATTAATCTACTGTCTTGCAGACTTACAGTCTTACAGGCAATATATATAGTATAATTGTAAATTACTGACAATAGTCTGTAAGTTACAGACTAGACAAGTCTATATAGACAGATAATTGTTTGCAAGGTTTTATAGGACATTTTATAGCTCACATCGGCCTTGAATAAAATACTTTCTTTCTGTTATAGGTTTCCGAGCATATTTGATATAGAATTTAACAACAATTATTGGCAAACATTGCATACGTCCAATGGAACGTTTCATCTTTACGGGGCCTATTTGGACAAGAGGAAAAACAACAGGCTGGGTCCTACGGTTCGCATTTTGGGCATGATCGACCGAATCGAACCCAAGGTGATTACATACTGTCAGTTTTGGTTCGATGGGAAAAAGGATCCTGTAATCACTAAGACGTTCGAGTACAAATATATCTGGTAAGTCAGTTAAAAAAAGAGTATTGATCAGAAAATCTTAAAATAAAGCGACGCTTACATTGGGTCAAAATGCTTAAGAAGTGGTCAGAAGAATAAAAATTTCATATGGATTTTATTGTATACTGGATACATTCTAACAAACTTTTTTTTTGATTAATACTGCCTTGTGATACCATAATATTTTTTAACATTTTTTTCCTCGAAAAGCTCGAAAATGGCGGAACAGTGGCGTATCGTGGTTAGTTTCTTATTTTAATAGTTATCCCTATAAAAAATAATTTAATATTTTTGAAATGTAATTACAAGTTTTGGTTATATTTAAAAATTATATTACAAAAAATGTTAAGGGTAAAACTATTTTTGATGTTAAGTTATTTTTCGAAAGCTAATTTAAGTAATTTTCAAAATGATTTGTGATTTAAATCTTCGTTGCGCAATAGAAAAAGAATTAAGTAATTAAAAAATGGGCTTAAATTTTTTAAAAGATTTAGGTCTTTTTAAAAAGAATTTAAATAATCAAAACGGTTTGAATCTATACTAATATATAAAATCCTTAAGTGACTGACATACTGATTAATCACGATCCTGCTCAAACCACTCAACGTAAGAAGTTCAATTTTGGCATACAGGTTGATTCTGGGGTGTAGAGGTTCGATAAGAAGGGATTTTTCGAAATTCCAGTTCCAAGAGGGTGAAACCACCCCTCAAATATTACAATATTTTTATTTAAAAACGGTCAAGTTTCCGAAAAACGCTTAAACACGTATATTTTATTTTGTTTTTTACATATTTTAAGATTTTTTAAAATATATACAGGGTGTTTCAAAAAAGCTGGTCATTGATCAATCACGATCCTGCTTAAAGCGCTTGACGTAAAAAGCTGATTTTTGGCAAACACATTGACTTTAGGGTGTAGAGGTTCGATAAGAAGGGATTTTTCGAAACTCGAATTCTAAGGGGTGAAACTATCCCTCAAATATTAAAATATTTTTTATTTAAATACCGGTGAGTTTTCTTGACGTAAAAAGCTGATTTTTGGAAAACAGATTGACTTTAGGGTGTAGAGGTTCGATAAGAAGGGATTTTTCGAAACTCGAATTCTAAGGGGGTGAAACTATCCCTCAAATATTAAAATATTTTTTATTTAAATACCGGTGAGTTTTTCGGAAAAACTCTTAAACACTTAAACTGCTTGACGTTTAAAGCTGATTTTTGGCAAACGGATTGACTGTGGGGTGTAGAGGTTCGATAAGGAGGGGTTTCTCGAATCTCAAATTCCAAGAGGGTGAAAACGCCCCTCAAATATTACAATATTTGTTATTTAAAAAACGGTTAGTCTTTCATGAAAACGCTTGGACAAGCATAATTTATTTGGTCTTTTTTGAAAGTTTATAAAAAATCATACAGGGTGTTCCAAAAAGGTGGGTAATTTCTTAACCACGATTCTGCTTAAATTGCTTGACGTAAAAAGCTTATTTTTGGCAAACGGATTTTTCGAAAGTCAAATTCCAACGAGATGATACTACCCCTCAAATATTACCAAATTATATAATAATATCGCCATATTGTTTTTTCTCATGCTGACATAAATGTGAGAAAATTTTATCCAGTTTGTATGTTAATGGAAATTCTTGCTTTGCTTTATCATCACCATTACAAATGATTAATTCGTCGCGAACGAAGTCGCTGGTTCACTCTAGTCTTTTTATAAAAGACTTAATTCAGATTTTCGTATAGTTTTATGATACATTTTTAACAGTAGCATTCCTTTTTAAGTGTTAAGCGGCAGCTCGGTAACAGATAAAAAAACAAGACTCAACAAATAAAAAGTTATTTTTTCGGTACCAGTTTAGATTATTTGTCGTGTTACGCGTGCGTAGTGAGTCTGTTCTCTTTCAAATGAATCCCCCACTCCGTTATGTAGCCCAAAAGACAAACCAAAGAAATTGATCTCGAATATATTGAAGAGTATATTAAAATCCTCCAGCCCTTAACTTACACAGTGGTCAAAAGATATCACCACTTTTTAATGAACATGTATTCGATGACATCACATACCTATAAAGTAGGTACCTACTACAAAATCGATTAAATTTTATAAAAAACACATATTTTTGTGTATGTAATTATTCTACTCATTCTGTATCATTCTCGTATGTATTCTCACCCTGTATGTTAAAATTTATAAACAAGGATATATTTTTATGAGTCATTTTATATATTTACTGTGATATTTTTAACTAGACAATATAAAACTGAATGTGTATTTTGATTTAATGTGCAATCCAAAAATATCCTAGATAACGACCACAAAATTAATTGCCTGACATTAACGACAACTAAAGTGAATGAATATAAATATTAATTAAACCTTCAAATGACTCACTCACCTGGGGTACCGGGCAATAGTATCGTTAATAAACTGGCAATTATTAATAAATGAGACGGATATAGATGTTTTTTATATGTGCACTTTGCCTCTAAAACTCGAAATTGCCACAATTCTCATAATTCTAACCGGTTATTACGTTTTATAGAGTAATTATGTTCGTTTGTAATAGATGAGTCGCAATACAACTAAATAATGAGCAATTTGTAGAGTAGCGGGCAGGAAACAAGCGCTGTTTAATTCATTTATTATACGGAAAAAATAGTGTTTTTTGTAAAGAAGAATCGTTTATTATTCTGCTTGACGTCATGCTTTGTGCCATAAGGAATATTTCAAATTTTCTTTTATAGTACATCAAAGCTTTTATTGTTTATTAGATATTTTTATAATGATAATATTATGTACAGAGTGCCCCCAAACAGAATACGTGAGACTTGTGTGTAAAAAAATAGTAACTGTACGTAAAAATTAGTGACGTTAAACCTTACAGACGTTTGTCTGTAATACAGACTTCCCTACTGGCAGTTGCTTATTGACAATAGTCTGTAAGTCGTTGTAGGCGATGTCGAAGCTTTTAGAACTTGGTCTGTAACTATTAACCAACTGTCTTTTATACTACCTTTTTACAGACTTTTATCTGTAACGCAGTTGCAGACCTGTCTTACAGACAATCGTCTATTTACAGCAGTTTATAACTTACAATGATCGCTTACAATATAGCTTATTATATATAGACTATTGTTGCACACTATAGACAAAGTCTGTAACTTACACACAATTGTTTGTAAGGTTTAATAGGATGCTTTATAGCCTCCCTTCAGTCTTGAATAAAATTCGTTCTATTATAGGTTTCACAGCATAACCGATAAATCTATGTAAATGAGTTTGACCGGTGCCATGCTGTTGATTTTTAAATGACACACTCGGTATTTTTTTACTTTATTCGATAGAAAATGATAATCTGAATAGAATGACATATCAATATCATATTATGTGAACTTTTGCCATTCTCGCATATGGTTTCTTTGACATTGTAACATGCGGTTCATTCGGGTTCATAACGACAATTTAACTCGAAATACTAAATGTGTGGTATCAAATTATTCGTAAAAAATGCTTTTTTCCAAATATGCTAATGAGCCACCCTCGTTCCATTTGAAAAAAATTAGATATGATTAAAAATACGATTTGGGCATCTTTTGACCGGCCAGGACAAGAAACAAAAACATTAGACGATCAAATGTATTTTCCAAAGTTCCTTGATTAAAAATTAGTGTTTTTAACACAGCTATGACAGTCTAGATTCTAGATTGAAATTTAAAATGCGTTTTTTAAGCGAAAATGTCAAAAGTTGACACATATGTATGTCATTCTCTTCAGAGTATCATTTTCTATAGACTAAAATAAAAAAAAATACCGAGGGTGCCATTTAAAAATCAAAAGTTGTAGTTATTTCCGGTGAAACAGGAAGTGACGAAAAACAATTTAATACGTCAATCAATCCTAATTCTTCTTACAGTACCATACTCTGTACAGAGCGTCGGCTACCTCTCACATGTACCTGTGATGTGTGTCATCAGTGTTTCACAAGTACCCGGGACCTACAGTTTATTGCCGAATTCGAACGGCACTATTTGAGAGGCTGTATAAGGCAAATATACTCAAGGTGGTTTGCCATTGCCTTCCTTGAGGTGGCGGCTCGTTGGTCGCTCTATTTAGATAAATAAATATCTTTATTTAAATAAATAAAGCGACCGTACTGGCTGGGGATCGAACCCAGTACCTTCCGCTCCGCAGATCGACACACTAACGCTGGAGCTACGGACGGCCACCAATCCTAATTAAAACTATAATAATATACACAATAAAGTTCCTTAATTAAAAATTAATGGTTTTAGCAGTCTAGATTAAAATTTTAAATGCTAATTTTTTAATTCAAAATGTCAAAAGCTGACATATGATATGTCATTCTATTCAGAATCATATAAAGTACAAAAATACCGAGGGTACCATTTAAAAATCAAAAGTTGTAGTCATTTTCGGTGAAATAGGAAGTGATCGAAAGTAATTGAATACGTCATTCAATCCCGACTTATCTCATATTACTAACAAGCCAAATTTTGTTACTTTGTCTGAAAAAATAACAAAATTATAGTGATGAGCCACTTTTCAAAGCCTCCCCATGCTCAAGCCCCATGCTTACTTATTATTTCTCGGAGGTTGTTTCAAAAAGAGATTTCCGTTTTCCAGGTACAAGAAATGGGGCAACTACAAACAGGGCATCTACCAGCCCTATCTAACCGCCTGCGTCATCCCGCAACCGTACAAGACCAAGGTTCCCGAGTCGATATCGCTGGTGGAAAAGCCTTGCGATAATTCTACCAACAATTTGCGCGTGATCTACAACGCGCCGCCCGTCAAGAAGGACTTCGCCGTGTGCGTGAAGGTGAGTGACCGACTTTTCCTCTTCACTTCTTCAAAGGGCAAGGCGAGATCTTCAGTGAAGAATGGGCGCAGTGGCGTAACTTGCATCAAGATCCAAAGACATCTAAATACAGGGAGACAAAACTATTTATATTTTATCCTTTGATTAAAAAGTTTAAGGAAGGAGCATCATGCTATTCCGTGTATTCATACATGGTAGACGGAGGGTGGGGATCCTTGACGATTCGTTTGATACATTTTATTTTATTTGAAATTTTGTGGATTTGTCAGTCTTTACTGAGCTTATTTTATGTTATTTATTATTTATTCTACTACTGATAGTTGTTTAAAGGTAGTAAATCTAGAATCTAGAAGGAAATTGTGGCAGAACTTAAACATTTGCAATTTATCGAAAAGATTGTATAATAATTGGTTGTGTAGCGTGCGGTAGATCTATCTTGGTCAAAAATCGAGGGAAATAATGGAATAAATATTCGCTAGTAAATTACTATACAGGGTGACCCAGAAATAAGTGCAAGTATTTTAAGGAGTGATAGATCTGGTCAAAAGAAACATTTTTTCTCTTTACCATTTTTCAAATAAGTCCAAAATAACCGAGTTATTTTAATTTGAAAATTTAAACAAAAAATGCTTTTTTGCTTAAATCTTGAGAACCACTGGATCTTTTCTGGATTTTCGTTCATGGAAATTTAATCTACTACCTATGTTGCAATATTATCAAGAAATTATGTTTTTTAACTTAAAACTAAAAAAAAATCCAAATTTTCAAAAAAAAAATTCGCAAAAAAAACCATAGGCGTGTTTCTGAGGCCGAAATATACTACCAGTTAAAATATTTGCACTTATTTCTGGGACACCCTGTATAATATAGATACGTTTAGTAAACTGATCGTTTATGAAATTCACTTAAATTTATCTAATTACATATGTATTTTTTCTTGCATTTTTGCTTTTCTTTACTACTTGTCAAAGATTAGATTTCAAAGAATTTATATACGTCAATTTGACTTACCTGTTTCAGTAGCGTATCGGATGTTTGTGTTAATAAATAATTATTTACTTACTAACTTATCTATTTTTATTAGAATTATATATTTTTATAACAATTTTAATAACTACCAACATTTATTGACAAAGTAAAATAAAACAACAAATTATTGAGTCTACTCTACATCATATTTTTACACGTTCTGAATAAAATTAGAATGGCACTGATAAACCGGAATTTAAGTCGGCCATTTTAGGACACTGTCGCGTTCGATCTAAGATTTTTGATATGCTCCTTCCTTAACATTTTTATTCAAATGGTATACCTAACTTAAGTTTTAAGTTGGATATTACAAAAAAACATTGAAAATAAATTAGACCTAAGTACTATACGATTTTTATATTCATTGTACTATTACCTGTGCTATTACTATAATAGAGAAGTAAATCAAAATTTAAATTAAAACTACTTTTTACGATTGTTAATAAAAAAACAGTACGCCACTTGTTTATCGCAAAGACACAAATGCACACGAAATTCAACAGCGTTGTCATATTTATGTACCCATCTCTTTTTAACTCACCTAAAAGTGTTAAAGTATGTATGATTGTAAACAAATAGAGTTTTATGAATGGAATGTCTTGTCTCCCTTCTATTTAGATATTTTTAATCAGTACGAGAGATCAATTTTTGCCAATTTTTTCGAAAAATACAGGGTGAAGTGCTAGCGCTTTTGGGGAGCAGAAGATGAATTAAAAAATTAATCTTATGTTTGTTACAGGGCTTAGATTTTCTTCACGAAGATCTCTCCGTCAGATTAGTGGAATGGATAGAACTAATTAGTCTACTGGGAGCCGATAAAATCTTCCTGTACCAGTTGCAAGTTCACCCCAATATCAGCAAAATTCTAAATCATTACGAGAAACAAGGCAAAGTAAGTATTGACACGATCATTAGACTTGTTAATTAACAGACAATCAGCCACGCAATACCCAATCATACAATACGAAATCGAACAGGAGTAAGAGATGCGGTGATATCTGTCTTACATCTTAAATGGAATTGGGCAGGACATGTGGCTAGGATGACAGATGGACGGTGGACAAAGAGACTTGTGGAATGGAGACCGAGACACGAGGCCTATAGAAGCAGAGGACGACCTCCTATTCGATGGACAGATGACATTAAGAGGGTGGCTGGAAACTGGATTCAAGTGGCACAAAATAGAAGGAAATGGCTAGAGTTAAGGGAGGCTTTTGTTCAGCAGTGGACGGTATAAGCTAAATGATGATGATGATGATGATTCTTGGACCTATTCTAAGAAAAAAACTTCATATGAATATATGTCATAAACATTTTAACTTTTCAGATACAGGGTGGTAAAATTTTCTAATTTTTTTTTTCAAAATATCTCTAAGGTTATATTTGATGATTGTGTCCATGCATGAAAATGTATATTTTGATATACCAAAAAAAATGTTATATTTCTTAGTTTCCTTCTAGCTGATGAACAAAAAATGATTTCCACACAACGTCACCGCATCATATTTTCAGCAATTTGACCTTGAAATAAACCGAGTTTAATTTTTTAAACAAAAACTATGCGTCCGACGAAAAAAAATCAATAGAAGTGAAATAAAAAATATTTAGAAGTGAATGGCGATCTTGAAGATAATAACATAGGAGTTATTGTGAACTTTTCTTTTTAGAAAGTTTTACCACCCTGTATCTCAGAAATTAAGATGTTTAGTTAGTTAGTAGTAAATATGAAGTTTTTCTCTTAGAATAGGACCAAGAATCACCCCCTTAACTATTGGCATGTCTTTAATGAACACCCTGTATAATAAATTAAAAAGGACTTGAAAGAGAAACCGAACATTTTCTCCCATTTGGCCTTCAATTATCTTGATCACACTGTATATCCACCGACTCTTTGCAATTACAGGTACAGGTTACGCCCATAACGTTGGCGGGTGTTCTTCCCAACGCTCCAGCGTTGCAACATTTCTTCTTATCGAAGAAGACGAACCACAAAAGGCAGAACGAACTTATACCTTATAACGACTGCTTTTACAAGCACATGTACGAGTATAAGTACATCGCGCTGCTTGATATCGATGAGGTAAGTAATTTTACTGTTTTTATTTTTATTATTTTTTTGTTATCGTTGTTTTATAAAAAAAATAATGAAAGGCTTGAAGCAAATAATGTTCAAAGTCCAAAAAAAAATCGTTAATATCGTAAAATGTTCCATAACCAACAACATTATATAAAGCTAAGTGCCACGGCTATTATACCGGGTGCGTCTCAAAAGTGGGTCACCCAACGAGATTTCATTTGTTAGTATATGACATAAATTAGGATTGATTAACGTATTCAATTAATTTGTTTTCTGTCACTTCCTGTTTCACCGGAAATGACTACAACTTTTAATTTTTAAATGGCACCCTCGGTATTTTTTTACTTTATTCGATATAAAATGACACTCTGAATAGAATGACATATCATATATGTCAACTTTTGACATTTTGGTATATGGTTTATTTGAAATTGTAACATGCTGTGCATAACGGCAATTTGAGTCGAAGTACCAACTGTATGGTACGAAATTATTTATAAAAAAATGCTTTTTCTAAATATGCTAATAAGCCATCCTTGTTCCATTTGAAAAACTTGAGATATGATTAAAAATCCGATTTGGGCATCTTTTTGACCGGCCAAGACAAGATAAAAAACACTAGACGTAAAGTAGTAAAAAATAAGTGAAAAAGAATTCAAACTAGGCGTCTTGTTGTGTTGTGACAATTTTAAATGTTAATAAAAGTCCCCAAAAAATGTTAACGCGTAAAGGAGAGCGTAATTAAGGCGTTGTTGGGTGCAATAACATTCAATAACTCAACTTTCCTGGATATTCAACTCTCCCGAAACAACATTTTATAGCTTCCTAATATCTTACACCGATTTGATCATTAGCAAAAATGGATTCACACAAGCAGTACGACGAAACAAGTGAGTAAACAAAGTGTTCGTTACATAATCAAAAAATTAAATAGACATATACTATGAGAGGATGAAATATAATTTGTGTGTGCAATATTTATGATATACTTTTTTAATCAACTAGTAATTAAATGTTTTATGAACATCTTCTAAAATTGTAATTATGTACGTTTAAAAAATTTCGTTATAGACGAAATAGCTCCATTATGTCCCACTAGCAAAACCGATAGTAAAACTATGCTCGCTACCGTAGTTGAACTCATTTAAAAATTTTTTTAACTAGAATAATAAATTATAATGCAAGTTAGACCTTCGGAAGATATCAAAATATTTACGTTTTTATTTTTTTATTTAGAATTTCCACAAATTACACTTTATAATACTTATAGAATAATTATATACTCATTTTTTCGTTTGCCCGCCATTTAAACTCGTGTATTCGTATGTGTCCGTTATTTACGAGTTCTCCGACGGTGGCAGCACCGGCGGAGATTGCACCAAGCCTATACATGGGTTAAATTAATATTGGTTAACAAAAAATATTGATTATCTCGAAATAACGATTTTGGTACTTTTTTCATTTACTTCAAGGCTTCAATAATTTATATTCATAATAAAAAAGATATTATGTAAAGACATTAGATTTGTGACATTTATATTTTTTAAAGGTTATAATGCCCCTGGAAGGTACATCCTGGAAAGAATTAATGGACAAAGTCTTGCCAAAAGCTCTAAAGATAAATAAAGAAGAACGAGCCTCCTATAACGTTAGAAACGTATACTTCTTAGATGATTTGTTGCATGATCATGGGTAGGTTTTTACATTCAGCTATTAGTTTTATTTGCAAATATTTCTAATGTTATTTTTCTAGGTGGTTCAAGGAAATTCCTCGTTACATGCACATGATGCAACACGTCTATAGGACGAAGAATTTCACCAAGCCAGGCCAGTACGTCAAGTGTTTCCACAACACTGAGAAAGTGTTGACGTTACACAACCATTTTCCTTTGAGTTGTCTAGGCAGCGGGTGTACGTCTTATCCAATCGAAACGGGAGATGCACAACTTCAACATTACAGGTAATTTTAACATGAGTTCCTAAACAATGTCTATATCTTTGTAGCGGGTTCGTTTCCTTAAAATAGTCTGGTTTTTTCGCCACTGGAAAATAAATCTACAAGATAAAAAAATTGTGTGCACTATGTGCACATATTTGAAGTGGAACTTCTTACTTCCTTTTGTCTGTCTGTCCGTCTGAGGATTCCATTCGGGTACGAATTAAATTATTCCACGTGTCTAGTTTGGTTCCAATCGACACATAATTAAGAAAAATCCTGATGATTTCGACCATTTAGAGGCATCGGTTTGAAACGTGGAGGACGTCATCCTGTAGCCCGTCCCCAATTATGCCGAAATCGACCTACATTTTTCTTCAGTATCAAGTCGTTGGCAGAGTAAGTCAACCGACGAGTAGCGACAGTCCGGTTTTCAATTTTCTTTGCGGCTGCGCGAAATAAGTAGTCTATCTGTCATGAAGAAGCGAAGTTGCCCCACTTTTGCCATTTATCAAATATCTCTAGGTATATACTCTATTTCAAGTATGCCTCAGGCAACTAATCATTTTTTTAATTATTTTATTAGCTGTAAGATATTTTATACATTCAAATTTAGAAACAGGGATTAAACAAAACAAAAAAATATGTATAAAACTTTATAATTAATTCCACTTCAAATTATGAGCAGTGTATACCATGTTTATAGGACCACTTCATAAGTTGAACATTTAAAGAGGGAGTCTATCTGTCAAACACGTCAAAAGAGAGAGAAAGAAAATTTGGTCCCACCACATCAAAAGAGCCGACGGTTTCTGTCGCTACTCGTCGATCGACTTACTCTGTCGTTGGTCCCACCCAACTTTGGAGGGTGGGACCGTGTGCACCGTCGCTCACATAGCCTACTCACCAATCACCCACGACATCAACTTTTGACGCTTCTTAAGTCAAAACTAACTCTCACAGTGACACGTGTCATACACGGTCAAGTTGGCCTATCGACATACCAAATTTCATTTAAATCAGAAGATTTTTTGATTTGGTTCATTGATTACAGGGTTTCGTAGTGCACGAAACGCTTCTTTTATTATAATTTTTGCATTGTTAAAATCTTTTATTATGAATTAATCTATCCCTGTGTCTCTTGAATGCTGACAAATCCTAGATTTAAACAAAAATAACACACTAAATAAAACTCGATGTTACACATGGACTTTCTTACTAATTTCAGGGCTGACTGCGTCAAAACCTTGAAGAAAACATGCGAAGAATTTCGAAAAACTTCAGTAATGGACACCACCATATGGAAGTTTAAAGACCCTCTTATCCAAAGGGTCAGTTCGACCCTTAAAACGTTAGGATTTTTCAGTAACGCCAACACAAACGACGTTAACAATAACAGCATTAGGTAGAAAAAATCCTTTTTTGAAACCCTCTACAGGGTGGTTTTTTTAAACAAGAGCTGTCGTGTCGTTGTCCACGACAGTGAATAAACCAAAAATGATGACTCCTCTCAAATGTGATATGTTATTTGTGCTGTATCACGATATTCGTTCGTATTTAAGTGTGCCTTGAACAAGAGCCTTTTTGATGCAGATCCTTGAACCAGTGCCTTAGTCAAAATTTCAATTAGAGATGTAAGTATACAAGGTGAAAAATATTTTTATATTACACCAACAAAGTTAAGAAAAATCTATATATTATTTTTAGTGATGAATATAACATAATTTTATGTTGTTTTTTCTTAAAAAACTTTTTATGTATTGTTTTCTCTGTTGTAGGACTTGGAAATAACTATGATATATAATCAAAAATTGATAGTAAAGTGTAAAGTATAAAAGCAATATTCAATATTTTGGAAAATTTTGAAATTTCTCCTTAAAAACCTGACATCCTCAATTTTTTGTTTATAAAAGGTTTGTTTTTCACCAACCTGCTATACGCATACTTCAACAAAATTTTTTCACCTTGTATATATAAAATATATTTTATTAAATTTCTATTCAGAGTATAAAAAATAATGATTGAATACGCCCAACAGCAGACATCAAAATCATCGTCCAAACATTATTTAAGAATTGATCAGTGATTGTGACAGAAAAATTTCACAACAATGACGTTTGACCTCGTGCTATGATTTCATGTCTATCTCATCCATAGATAAAAGAAACAAGTTTAGATTGGAAAGTGCTCATCTTTATAGACATAACATTGCCTTTGCAATGTTAAATACTATTTGGCGCTATTCATTGCTTTTGATAATTTCGGAACGGTTCGGCTTTTTCCAGAAGTATGTCGCCAAATATTATTTATTCAAATTTATTATTTTCTTTTAATTTTTTAAATAAAATACAGCGTGTTGCATATAAGAAACTTTATTTTATATATGAAATACCTGTGTGAAACATTGGAAACCGACGCACAGTGCTTCGAACATATGGCTCTAGAGGACAAAAATGCAAAACTACTCTTTTATTGTAGGCAATTTATTCAAACTAGGTTTATTTGACACAAATGATGAGTACTCTCATTGTACTAAATGATGATGTTCTTAGTCCCACGTTTATGAAAAAAAATCTTATAAATAATAAAAATGTTGGAGCTGTGTTCCATCTAAGGAAATAATAATTTATAGTATGAAAACGGTGTAAGTATTAAATAAATCCCTGTGATAAAAAAGAATTGAAATAACATTAGAACATGATTCCTACAATATAAGCCTAAAGCCCCGTTCTCAGAACTGCGACTGTCGCCAGCGACACGTTAAAAGAACCAATGAGATTTGTACAAAATTCAAACAGCTGTCAATTTTAAATTTAGTACAGCTCCCATTGGTCGTTTGAAGTGTCAATCAGTGTCGCTGTCAACACGACGTAGTTCTGAGAACGGGGCTTAATATAAGATAAAAATGTTTTTCTTTAATGAAAAAGAAACATTAATGTTATATTTAATTAAAAAAAAACTTAAGATACTATAAATTTACTTTAGGACAACAAAATGCATAGATCGTAACTACTCTGATTCAGAAGAATCACTGGTGACAGAATCTTCCAAATTTATAGTATCCAAATCGTAGGTAGATGAAGTATCCTCACATGTAAGATATTTCTGTACATTATTTTCTAATATGTTACCTTTTCGCGTTGTTACTGTTCTTTTTGTTGGTATGAGGGGTTCGGATGTTAATAGTTACCTCTTTAATAGACCATATCCATATATTATTTTTTCCTTTTCTTGGGTATGAGGTTTTATAATAAATTGAAAGATGGAAACTTTTTTATGCGACGTTTCGCTCCACATAGTGGACTTTTCAGGCACAAGTAGTGTCTCATTTGACTGGAAGGTTCATCAATATCTAATAAAGAACACATTTTTTGAAATACAAATAATTTTCAGTTCTTGTCCTTATGATCAAGCCAAGTATTAACCAGATCGGCATTGCTTATCAATTTTACTCCATCTGAAAAGTATTATAAAATAAAGTTCGTCGCAAGCAGACGCAGGTGAACTATACAAAAATTAAAAGTGTATGAATATAACAACAGAAATATTCAATAAATACGATATGTTTTGATATGTTTTTTTAAATGCCTTTTTGAAGTTTGAAAACGCAAAATTTTTATACCCATTTAGATATCATCTTAAAAAATAAATAAAAACTAAACAATCACGAACTTCTTTAGAAATAAATTTAAAGTACATACCTTGTTTAACAATATCCATAGTGGCTTTCAATTAAGTACGTACCGTTTAGCTCCATAGTATACTGCTATAAGTATAAAATTACATATTCAGATATCAGTAAATTTTAACTTTTTTTTTCGATTTTTGTCCATGGGACGAAGCACTGTGCGACGATGCCACGATCCACGATGGTTTTTGCAGTTCACAGTTCACACAGCTTTTTAAGTTTTTAAGTCCACTTTTTCAAAATTATCACGGGTTTGAGTATAAATTTTAAATTAAACTCACAAGATAGCAATAATTACTTTGAAAATGGACGCTTTAAACACTTTTCGGTATTTTTTCAATGAAGGCGGTTTAAATTTTGAAAGATTTTATAATTTTTGAAGATTCTGACTTTGACAAGAGAAAATTATTTCTGTTCTTGTTTGCGGCTGTTCTTAGCAACCGCTATAGCGCTCTAGAACGTATGCGCTTCAAAACAATTATAAGTTTAGGCATAGCCGAGCATTCCAATCTAAACTTGTTTCCTTTATCTATGGTCTCATCCAGCCTTGGTTCTTAATCTGGATTTAAGCGCATCTCGTCGTCCGTCGTTCCGTCAGTCCAATCATGATGATGTACGATTTGTCATTTTTGAAATAAACCAATTAGATTGTATAAAATAAACAAGGTATTGCGGATGCATATAAACCCACACTTATTTTGTGGATATTTACATATATGTATTTTAAATATCCATCCTTTCTATCTGGTCATGTATGTGCCTCTAATAATTACAATTAAGACCCATTATACATAATTCCAAAGATATTTGAAAAACACTAAGCTTTAAACATACAAAAATTAAAGCTTTTGTTTTTGACTATCTTTATATTGCTCATATGTAATATCAAAAATGATATAGGAAATTATATGAATCTATTAGTAGAAAATTTGTTACTCTAAAATAATGAAAAATATGCTGTGAATGTTTATTTATTAATAGAATTTTTTAATTATTTTGCTTCATCCTTATAGCTTGCTCAAACGTATTTTATAATTTATTGATATGAGATTCGACTACATTTAGTTTAATAAAAATGTAAATAAGTAACGTCGACTTTTGTAGGCAGAGCGATCATCCAAAAATGTTCTCATACCAAAAAAGTTCCACAATATGTAACACCTAGAATTATAAAAGTCGTTTACTAATCAAGACTAGTATATTAACGTAATAAATTAAAGCAATGTATCGAGTTCCTAAAAATATTAACCTTTTTTTTTCATGGTATCCAAAGACTTCCCAGTTTTTAGTTTTTTATGCTATAATTTTTTATTTTTTGAATCTAGAAAGAGTACATAAACAAACTCGATTTTAGTCTCTTAAACTTGATTTTTTTATTTTATTTTTTGTACGCCAATGGTTTGATATATTTTACGAAGAGCGACTCGTCAAGGGGACCAAAACAAATATAAACTGAAATACATAACTGCCAAATTAATATACAATTTATTAGGGTCTCTGGATACCATGTTTAATACTAAGCAAATGGGATCAATCGTTCTGTCAATTAATCTTAGGTATTCTGTAGAATATTAAACTTTTAATTGTTTTTGTCTTATTTATTTTATGCTATTAGAGATATTTTTAAGTTTATTTGTCATTCAGTGATACATGGAATAAGACAAAAACTAGCGTTTACTATTTAAGATAAAAAATAACTGTACTAGGTGTCTCACAATTTGACCCATTTTTGGGACACTGGGTACACTTATACGTTGTACAGAACAAGGGTTTTCTCTGGTGAAAAGTTATTATAGTTAATTGTATGCGTTGTTTTTAGGTTAATTATAATTATGTTAAGAATTTTTAGTTTCTAAGATTAAAACTACGTTTATTGCAAACACAATATTTATTGTCATTAGAAGTCATTGAAAAGATTGTTATTTTCCGATAAAGGAAACCGATGATTAGTTTTACATTTACTATGCCAGTGTGAAGTTATATGAAGTTTTATATGTATTGTCCTTCAAATAAAATGTGCCTTAAATATGATCTGTGATTTTATTTATTCGTTTGTATAATCAGTAAGCTAACAATGTGTATGTCCAGGGATGATCAGCGGCTGAGGTGCTGAGTAAGCGAACGATCTATTTTTACACGCAATAACAATCAGCCGCTGGGCAAAATTCTCAGCGATCAGTCAGTCGGCGTGTCTTCTAAAGGCGCACAATATCAACAATTACAGTTGGGGGTTGGAACCATTGGTGTTACAACAGCAAAATAAAGCACTAAATCATCACAAAATACCATCGCTAGCGTGGTTAGCAAAATGCGCGTCCAGTACAAAAGTAAAGTGTATTGTGGTGATTTAGTGTTTTATTTTGCAATATCAACAATTTTAGTTTTCAAAATATAGAAATTTTCAAGATTCCGTGATATACTAATAGATAATGATATACGATACGATGAATACGATTATACTGATAGATAATGATAAATAGTCGTATATAGCTGGTAGATCTCGATAATAGGAACATATTTTACCTTTATCGTTTTTCAAATAATCCCAAAATATCCGAGATATTTTACTTTGAAAATTAAAATGATTTTTCGCTTAAATTTTGAGAACGCTGGATCTTTTCCGGGTTTTCTTACTTGTGAATTTAATTCACTACCTATGTTGCCATATTAGATGAGATGAGAATATGATTTTTAACTAAACATTTTTAAAAATTCCCAAAAATTTTTCAAAATTTTCAAAAAAAAGTCCGCGAAAAAAAACTACATAGACGTGTTTCTGGGATCAAAATATACTACCACTAAAAATGTCTGCACTTATTTAAGATTCGCCCGGTATATATAATTATAAAAATATGCATTTTTATAATTAGTGACTATCAGTATCCTTTCAGTATCTATCGATATGTAATTTCTATACAGAGCCATAGATAACTACAGATCGTAGGCAACCTCTAGAACAGTGAAGTGGATAAAAGTGACAGTTGCGTGTTAAGCTTACCAGGGCCATGTAAATGAAATATTAAAAATTGTTCCAGCAAAAGTTTCCCAATTATGACGGGTGATGGCGCTGATCGTCAAAATTTTTGTACAGGGATTTTGCTTACCGACAATACGACGTGAGCTATAACCGGACCAGGACCAATCAGAATGATCAGTCTTTCTTGGACATTTGCCGCCTGTGTTTGCCGCGGAAGTGTGTGTTAATTTCTGTTGTGATAAGTGTGGTTGTATTTGCAGTTTGATTTTTCGGTTTTGATATTATGTTAAAATTAATTTTGAAGTATTGTATCACCTGTTTTTATGTAATAGTACTTTTTTTAGTTCTATGATCTGCTTTGTTATGATTTGTTAATGTTTGTGTAACAATGTTATACCAAAGAGGTTATACTTAATATATCAATTTCTTATCAATAAACTTTGTAGATTTTCAGATTATTTAATTCCTTTTGTTTCCGTTTGTAATTTTATTTTTAAGACATATTATGTGATTGTTTCACATAATATGTTTTAAAAATAAAATTGCAAATAGCGAATAAAAATAATTAAAATAAAAAAGTGTATTTACAATCTTTGGCTAACCTGTAAATGTCAGCTTTGTCGAGAGATGGCGTT